AGAGAGAGAGAGAGAGAGAGAGAGAGAGAGAAGAGAGACGATGTGGCTGGGCATCGAATCATCCTCACCAACCAGTCGTTTCTTTTGAAAAATAAAGAGAGAGAGAGAGAAAAGGGGGGGGACTGTGGCAAGCTGTCCATCATGTGACTCTGACACGTGCTACTTCGTTTCTTCGCTGCCATTTGCCTTCCAGGAAATGTTCCAAGATGCACGACCGACGTTATGGCTCTCATGTCAATGCTACTCCCGACAAGTCCCCCACCCGAAGAGCAACTGCCAAGCAGATTGAATGTTGATTGTTTCATTCATACAATGCAAACCTGCTTAACATCACTGGCACTCCTATAGTTGGAGGCGACTTCCAACAACTTCCCTGGGCCAATCATCAATGACATCATCTGAGCCCCACCAAACTGAGACTCACCCACACGCGCTTGCACTTGCACACATATCGTCAAAACTCAACAAGTGTAATGACCCGCCAAAACACAGACTGAGAACACTGCTGATTTCTGGGATTTGCCGCTGGAATGAATGCCTTGCTGAGATTCCCGCGTTCTGCTGTGGTTTCCAAGTCTGTGTGTGTGTGAGTGCCTGCTGAGTTGCGTGCCTGTCTGAGTGCTTGTCGGCTGAGTGCTTGTCGACTGAGAACACTTTGGGAATGACCAGGATTGTAACAATTGGTATCGGAGCGGACTTACTTGCTGACGAGAGGTGTTAGTCAGCCTAAACCTAATTCCGAATTAGGTTACGGGTAACCTAATCTCGGATTAGGGTTGGGAAGTTAGGGTTAAGAGGGGCAGTGAGGTATGTAGATACTGCCCCCACCTGGTTAGGTCATGTAGGGTCGACATCAGACCTGACCAGGTTGCTTGTGTGATTGGATGGGGTGGTGAGACACAAAGGAGGCTGATTGGAGTAAGCGAGAGGGAGTAGAGAGTGAGAGGTATGCGCACCTGGAATCTGTGACTTCAAGAAGACATTGAGTGACTTTGGGGCTTCACCACAAGAGGCAGACTTGATCGGAGGCTGCCATATCTGCATCAAAGAGCTGCAAGTTGCTACTTTGGTCTTCAGACATCGACGAGGGATCCGGCGTTGTAACAGGGGTGTGGGGAGGCCCTCTTAGTCATGCTAGGACACTTCGTGTAGTGGTAGCTATGGCCTATGAAAGAGGGGGGTGAGTCATTATCCATCTTTGGAGGCCGCGCCTCACAGGTAAGTGTTAAGTGTCGTGTGACCTGGTTATGCCCATGGGAGGTTGCTTGGTGCTTCATGGCCTGTTGGGGTGTGCTGGGCTCTCTTCCTCTTCTCTGCGGTCTTGGTTGTGTGTGTGAGCATGTGGATTGCTTTATCACCTGATGGATGGATGTACAATGTATCTTGTTCTCAATGACATATCTTTCTACGGTGCAATATCTTTTCACTTCTGGACAGCTGTAGGGGTAAGTTCTTGATGAAAGTTGTCTTTTCCTTTTCAGTACGGTAAGGCAGTTTGGGACTGACTTGGTACACCTAGCTCGTTGATCCTGGTCCACGACCTACTTGGGACCTTCAGGACTCAGTGGGACCAGGCCCAACGGGACAGGACCTTTAGGACCCAAATCTGCCGCCATCAATGCATCTTTTTGCTGTGCTGAATTTGGGGGACTTACGACTAGTAAGGACATTCCTTTCAAGGGGATCTTGACTGGTCTTACTGCATGTTCTCACATAGTGCCCCGTGTCTGGCTCGGTGACCGTCTGCACCCCTCGAAATCTCCATTGCTGCAGTTAGTTTTCTTCGGCTGACTTATTGTTGTACATGCTCCTTGTCAGATTAGACAAGAGGGGATCTCCAAGTAATCTGATCGGGGCCGTTCAATAAGTTAGTCCTCTCTTCGTTTTTTTTATAATTAATTATTTATTTATTTTTATTCTGCTGCGTGAATGCCATTCTCTAAGTCCAAATGAATTGCCGCTCCAGCTAGGAGTTCTACCTTCTACTCTTTGTGATTTACTGTTTTTCTTTTATTTGAACTATCTATGTCCGGTATTGAGACATGTGCACAGAAAGCGGAAAGAGAGAGAAGGGAGAGAGGTGGTGTTCTTTTTGAGAGTGTGAGGAAGGGTAAGAGGAGTGTTCGTCCAAAAGTGAGCAAAGTGAGGACCCCTCTTGAGAGATCTACTGACGCCCTAACCTCCAGCATGGCAGACAGCATCCGAGCAATGGAAGGCCATGCTGAACGCAGCGGCCGAGAACGAGAAACCTTTCTTTCAGAAACTTTATGAGGGCGCAATGCACAGAGAGAGGGAGGCAGAGGCAGCAGCTAAAGCCACAAGTATTGCTACACAAGTGGCCCTCCTCGAGGTTCCGGAAGCTAGTGATGACCGGTTCCAAGAGAAGCTAGCTGCTGTCGTAGCAGCCTTGGTTCAACTGCGGACCTTAGAAGATCTTGAGTCCGTGTGACAGCTCTAGAGCAGCGAAACCAAGAACTGCAGGCTGAGATAATCAGCCTTAAACAGTCCCAATTGGCTGCCCCCCGTCCTCCTAATCCTCGACCTGCTGCAGTCCCAGTCTCTCACCCTAACACAGTCCTCATGCAGAGAGCAAGCGGAGCTGTGACGAGCGCAGGAACCGGTGCCAACTCCTCAAGCAGCAACGCCGACAGTTCTACACTGGTCCCAGTCCCAAATGAGGGAACATCAGCCCAAAACGCCGCAGTTCTTACTGACGTACAATACAGCGGTCCCGTAGTGGACAAGAGGGCGGCCACTCTGCCGTCCAAGTACGACGGGAAGGGGGACATCACCTCTTGGATTAGCTCCATGCGCTCATACTTCGAGGTACTGCGAACACCGCAGGAAGACCGAAGCATGATCATGGGCACAAATATTGAGCCCGCCGTACGAAGTTTCATAGAACTCCAAGCTGTTACTGTAGGTTATGAGAGAATTGATCTGATTGAGTGGCTGAAAGTGACTCCTGTATGTACTTTTGAGGACCTCCTCATCGCATAGTATCAAGATAAGCATGCTGCGCTCAAGGCAAGGCTGAAGCTTGAAGCCCTCAAGGGCCAAAAGTGGAGGACTTCCATGCAGGCTTTGGAACAACACTTGACTGGTCTGTTCACCACTCCAAACCTGGGATGGACTGACATGTCTTGCATGGATGTAGTTATGGGAGTGGCCCTTGAAGGTTATGTCTCCCGGCTTGG